TATTGTCTTAGAGACATGAAAAGTTTCTGCCGGAAGAGGTTTTTTGAGTCGTGATATTTTTGGATTGCTTCTTCAGTTGTCCTTGCTTGCATCATCACGTTGTCTACGTAGATGTTGGATCTTATCTCTTCGGCTATGTCGCTTTCTTGCTTTTCGAGGACGCCATCTACGGCTGCCGCGAGTATGAGGGGGGAGCTTCTTGCGCCGAAGATCACGACTCGGAATCGATATTCTGCTAAGTTGTTTTCTGAGAAAGGCTTGTTGATATCCTTCAGCCACAGAAATCTAAATTTATCTTTGTCTGTTTCTACGATCTTCAGAGCATTGAAGGCCTTAGAGACATCTGCGGTGATTAGATTTTCGAAGGTCCTTGCTCGTAGGAGCAATCCTATCATATCCGGCATCAAGACCGAGATGGGTCCTTTGTACATTGTCGCATTAAGGGAGTTGTGGCCTTTTGTGCGTGCTGAGCAGTCGAAGACTATGCGCATCTTTGTTGTTTTCGAGCTTTCCTTGAGAACCGCCCGGTGTGCGACGTAGGTAGGGCGCACTAATGGGCTGATGCATTCCTCTTCGGGCACGCGTTCAATGAAGCCGTTGCCTTCTTGTGTCTTTAGGTCTTCGTCATATGCGTTAAGAAGATTCTGGCGTTTCAGAGCTTCGACGAGCCTTTGTAGTCGGATTTTGCTTTGGTTTCGATTCGTGGGGAGATGTTGCATGGCTTCGGTGTCGAGCCATGGGAACCGGACGTAAAGTCCGTCTTCTCTTTCTTCCATCGTGTCTTTGATCTGCTGGACAATTTCTTGCTCAAGAGTCTGTTCCGGATTTTCTTTAATTCCGGCAGTATCGATCTCCCAGAACCTTTTTAGTGAGTCATTTAGATCTTCCTGTTCCTGCTGTGTATCTATTGTTTGAATGGGTAGTGATGAGATGGTGTAACATGGGTGGGCATAGCTGACTGCTTCTCCTTGACGTCCGCCGATGAAGTTGCCGACGTGCGTCTGGAGGACTGTCAGTCCGGAGGGTAATCGATGAGGTCTTTTACTGTAGTTATATAGGTCCCAGATGTGGTCGTTTCCGAGCAAGATTCCGGGTTTTGCGGTTACTTTGCTGCCCTTAAGTTCTTCTATATGCAGGTTGTAATTGGACAGGTAGGAGATGTCATCTCTCGTTGGGCGAACGATTTGGTAGGGGCCGACGAGCGGTTGTATGGCTAGCACGTCCATTTTCCAAGTCTTATTGGACTTTTGATCTACTAATCCGAGTTGGACGACGTCGACCTCTCGGCTAGTCCGTTCGCCACCGATTGTACCTATTGAGAGTCGGATTTTTGCCTTGACGGGCAGTTTCAATGCTTTCCGGAGGTCTTCTGAGATAAACGAGAGCTGGCTGGCGGAGTCAAAAACCGTATGGACTTTGAGAGATTTTTCGGGGCCTTTAGCGATAATTTTTCCCGCTAGGTTGTGGGCTCGAACATGAGGAAGTCGAATGTCGCTGTTTGGGGCTGTAGTGCTCAGCGTCGTGGCTTCGACCTCTGAATGCTCGTCGTCCTCAGATTCCGTAGCCGTAGACCAATCCTCTTCGGACCGATCCTCTTGTTCGGACTCTTCTGTTGTATCTCCTTGGTTGTCCAGGGTAGAAAGATATGTCTTGCTTTTAGGATTGTTTAGTTTTCTTCCCGGAGTGGGGTCCCGGCTGGGAGCTTGTTCCGTCTGTCTGGTTGCGGGCCTATTTTTCCGGGTTTTCGAGGACACTCTAGGGTCCAGGGGGCAGATCGAGGGGTGATGTTGCGCTGATCCGCATTGGCAGCTGCGTTTTTGGCAGTTATGAGGATTCTTTCGTGTGCAAATAAAACAGCGATCCTCTTGTCGCAGCATTTTTCGTCTTTCTTCGTTGTCTGTGACTTTTGAGCAATATAAACTGATGTGATCTGTGTTTTTACAGTAAACGCAGAACATTCTCCTTTCCTGGCTGCGTTGCCTAGGGCTCCAATTCCGGGTTGCTGAGGTGCTGTTTGAGCGCGGCTCGCGATTAAAGCGATTTGAATACGGGGAGGGCGATCGGCGTGTGTCTTTCCTATACCAGTTCTGATTGAAGGGCCGGTTAATAGCTAAGGTGGTCTCTTCAGCCTGGCTATGCGGTTCGATGACGTGCATCAGGTGTTCCGCCCGTTCGATAGCATTGTGAAGGGCTTCTAGGAACTGTTCGAGGTTCCAGTTCTGATTGCCGTGTTCGGCAGTGTATAATTTCTTTTGAATGGGAATCGGGAATTTCTTTATAACGCGCTCTCTGGTTAGGGGGTCGATTTCTACGTTGTTTTGACGTAGTTCTTCAATGAGGGCTCGCACGCGATCATATGTGGGCCCAGCTTCTGCTGTGGTTCTGGCCATTGGGATTCCATCAAGTCTACTAAAGAGTGTTCGAACAAGTAGCTCCGGATTTGCATATCGTCGTTCCAGTAGTGCGAGGGCTGTCTCGTAATTTTCCGGAGTGAGCCTGAGATGTCCCACTATGTTTTGGGCACGTCCCCGGCAACTGGTTTTCAAATAACTGAATTTATCCAGTGTATTTAGTTGGGCGTTGTCTCCAATAATGCGGCGGAAGGTCGTAATCCAAGCATTATAATCGATCGGGTCACCGTTAAATTCAGGGAGTTGGATTTCTGGGAGTCTCGGGGCGTTCGGGATAGCGATTTCAATGGGAGGGTCTCGCTCGTTTTGGTTATTTTCTACGCGTTGGGGAATAGCTGGTTGAGGTCTGAGGTATTTGTCATAAGTATAAATGTGCCCTTCGAGACTTTGGTAGGCATGTGTGAGCCAGCGAATCAATCTCCTTGCTTCATTGAGAGTATGAGTATTCTCGGCGGTTTCTAGGTTCTCCAGTATGTCATGAAAATGTTCTTGTTCTGGATCCTCTTGTAGTCTCATAATTCGGTCTATTTGCTCATCTAATTGTTGTACCGCGCCCTCTAGTGTCCGCTTCTGAGTGTAAAGTCCGGGTAATCGCGCGGCGGCGGTCGCTCTTTCGGCTTCGTTTGACACTACTGCTTGTGGGAATCGGACATTCATATCAAAAGGGGTCTCATCCTGAACTTCCTGATTTGTGTCAGCTACAGTTCGCATTCTGCGGGTGTATTCTTGGCTTTCTAAAGCCCTAGAGGGTCGGCGGGGCAGACCGTTTGCGGCCATTCTATAACTGCGTTCGGGGAAGATTTGAGGGGGATCTCTGCGATAGGGGTGGTTTTCTAGGCGTGGGTTAAATTCGAAATTAGCGCGGGTCGGGTAATAAAGATCTCTAGGGGAGGGAGTTGTGCAGACGACTACGACGAGGAATGTTACGAGGATAAGAAGGATGAGGATGAGTAATATGTCGACAAAAATTTTGGATTTACGTTCAGTGGATTTTTAAAGAAAAAAGGGGGTTTTTGTTCGAAAAGGCAAAAAAGGTGTTAGTTAAAAATTTTACTTACTTGACTCTGCTGTTGTGCGGCTGCTACGCTGCCCACTGCTGCAAAATGTGGGGCTTGGAATAAATTCAGAATAGACTCGTGATCGGCTGGAGAGCAGCTGGGCCGGTAGTTGTCGACGAAATAGTTGATTGAGAAGGGGGAAGAAGTGAAGGGCTTTTAGAGTTGTAGTAAGCGGGAGGGGGTAGGGAATACGGTAGAATGCGGCCCGGGTGAAGAAGGCCGACGCACCAAAATGTGGCGCCCAAATGCGAGTTGCGTCTTTAATGTGTCAGTTGTGGGCGACACGGTTTGAGAGTAAGGCCTTTATTCCACCTTTAAATAGGAGGAACGGTAAGGGCCGGTCTCGGAGAAGGGAGATGATCGGTGAAATCGCTGGCTCGGAAGCCCACACTCTCCTTTGCTGGATTACTGTAGCCTTGAGCAGGGCGACAGCAATTCAGCAAGGGTTATTTGAGTGTGTGTGTGGTATGCGAGGGCCCCAGGCTTATATAGGGGCTGCTGGGCTCCGCCCAGTCAGCCCCCGATTTCCGATATTCCCGGCGGGGAATTTCGGAATTCCCCGCAGGGACTTTCGAAACTCCCCGTGGGCCTTTGCGGATCGGCCCCGAGGGGCTATGCAAGCCTGAGGGCCCGCCCATGCCCTAGATTTTGGGACTCCCTTTCCCGAAGGGTCGGTAGGATCCGACAGGCTTACTGTAAAGTGTTTTTACTCAACTTGGAGTTTCGATTCGGGACCAAGTGCATCTTGTACAGAATTTTTCGCTGATTCCGAATATATTTTCCAAATTTGCTACGGACCGTTATTCTGAAAGTTATACGGCAATTCTAACCCTAGTTTTCACCAAAATGAAGGTATCGTTATAGTTTTCGATTTTCTTCGTTATTTCAACGTCAAAATTGACTAGACGTTGGCCCGACAAGCATCCTACAGCTCAAAACAAGCATTTTAGCTAAAAAGAATGATATTTTTATGCAAAAGCAAAAGAATTGATGCAGGGCGGGGGTTCGAACCGCCGCCCTGCGCTTGGCAAGCAAGTACTTTGCCAATGCACCATGGTACCAACTCAGTAGGCTGCTGTCAGAGGGTACTTCAGGGCCCCTGGGAACCATGGCCCCAAACAAGGAATAGTGGGCCAGCGTCTGAATTTTTGGCATTTTTCGGCCTAATTGTTACCAAAAATGATTTTTTAAATAACAGTCCGTAGCAAATTTGGAAAAGATATTCGGAATCAGCGAAAAATTCTGCACAAGATGCGCTTGGTCCCGAATCGAAACTCCAAGTTGAGTAAAAACACTTTACAGTTAGGTATCCCTTAGGTTTGGCCTTTGTTTCAGGCTTAGGCTTAGTTTGGGGCTTGGGCTTAAGCTTAAGCTTAGGCTTAGATTAGGCTGAGGTTTAGGCGTATGCTTCGGCTTGGGCTTGGCTTAGGCTTGGGCTTCGGCTTAGGACTAGGTTTAGGGTTCTTAGGTCTAGGCTTGGGCTTGGCTTATGCTTAGACCCAGGCAAAACCAAATACACGTTCAATTTTAGGTGCGGCGTCGGCGTCGCCGTCCTAAATGGGCTGCTGTATGCCGTCGGAGGGCACGATGGCGTTGCGTATCTGAACTGCGTCGAAAGGTGACTACGAAGTTTACTATAAACATTTCAAACCTAAAACAATTGCTAAAAAAGACTATAAATCTAATTTTTCAGATACGATCCCGCGACGAATCAATGGGACAACACTGTCGCCCCAACAACCTCATCCCGAACATCGGTTGGCGTGGCGGTGCTGAACCGTTCGTTTTTCAGGCTTGGAAAGCTTATAAATAACAAGAATGTGATTTTTAGAGCCAAATTTACAAAACAGCTACAAAATTTAGGCTGCCTCTACGCCGTCGGGGGCCAAGATGGCGTCAGCTGCCTGGATTTGGTCGAAAAGTAAAAACTAACGCAGAAAGAAAACAACTAAAATTTCCTAGATACGATGCTCGCGACAATAAATGGACCCAGGTGGCCAGCATGGGAACGAGGAGGCTTGGCGTCTCAGTTTCGGTGCTCAAGGGATGTCTTTATGCCATCGGAGGTTCAGACGGGCAAAACCCACTACGAACTGTTGAACGGTAGGCGATATAAAGTTATACCAACCAGAAAACTACAACTATATAACTATTTAATGTCATATTTTAATTGAAACCAGCTAGGAAATGACAATAAACTAGCTAATTTCAGCTACGACCCCCGAACCAATAAATGGACGTCCGTGCAGCCTATGAATGTCCCTAGAAAACATCTCGGAACTGCTGTGTTTGATGGGAAGCTGTATGCGGTAGGTCGACCTCCGAAAGCCTAAAAACAGCAAGCTCAGGTCGGCGGGCGAGACGATAAGCTGGAACTTGATTCGGCGGAATACTACGATCCCATTACGAACGAGTGGCGCTTCATCGTCGCCATGCAGAGCCGACGATCTGGGGTATCTACTAATCAAGTTCATACATAACAATTATCAAATTTAGGTTGGCCTTTCGGTGAGCAAAAACAAGCTCTACGCGGCCGGCGGGTTCGATGGGAACTCTTATCTGAAATCTGTTGAGGTGGAGGACATAGCCCTTTACTTATTAATAACTATTTTCAGGTCTACGATCCACAGGAGATGTCCTGGCGCTTCCACAGCAACATGAATTTTCGCAGATTGGGCGGTGGGGCCGGTAGGGAGAACTTTTCAGGAGTTTTACGCGTTTTTAGCGACTATCCCGATGCTGAACGTGCAGGAAGATAAAGTCAAAGAGCAGCAGGAAACCAGCGAATCGAGGGAATCGCCAGAAGTCGAGAAACGTGAAATGGAGGACAATGTCGGATAGTGCTAATCATTGCCAAAAACTTGTAAACTTTTCGGGTGCCGATAAAAGCCTTTTTGCCGCAATAAACTCTTGAAATCGGATTGTCGATCTAATACACAAACACGCACCTAAAAATAAATTTTCTAATGCCAAATATAACACAACAAATAACACTTCTTTTTTATTATTCTCCTTTGTTTTATTGTATTTTTCGATGGCGAAAAGGCGGCGGGCTCGCCGTGACATTTGGTTGCGTAAAGTTGGGTGGGCTACACAGCACTCCAAAAGACGGAACGATGCCGTGGCTCTCCCCATCACGGCGTTTAGGCCTCCCGTTTTCGCGTTCTGAATTTTTTTCACGCGGGATCTGAATTCATGCCGGTGGTTTTCGCATTCGGGTTTACTATAACTAAATGCCGAATCGAAAACTACTTCCAAAATGCCCCCCCTTTCCTCCGTGTGCTTGATAAATTTCTGTCTTCTTGCCTCCCCCGTTTCTTGCCCATCAAATCTTTCGTTTTTAGTTACTTGGAAGAATGCTGATTCCCAAATCACACCGGCGCGCAATCTACGAATACCTCTTCAACGAGGGAGTCACCGTCGCCGCCAAGGACCCCAATGCCAAGACGCACCCGAACATCGAAGGAGTCACAAATCTCGAGGTCATGATGGCCATGAAGGTAACTTATATTTTGGAAATTACCCTGGTTCGTGGATGAATCCCGCATACCGCTGCCCGAAACAATACGCGGCGTGGCAATTTATTTTTGCGTAGTGGCGCTTTTTTGCAAGAACCGCTTTCGAAGCTAGTCTTCAGTTTTTTTCCCCAGTCGGGCAGGTCTATTTGAGGCGCAGATAGGGTCAACAATACATTGAGTTCACTTTCAGCACCACGGCTTTTTTACTGGGTGTTTTAGTTTTTACCACGAATCGCTGTCTCAAATCATTCATTGATGTTGTTTGGCTAGTTTGTGGGCCCTTTACTCGCACTTGGCTTTTTTTCGTTTGCCTAGAGTATATTTTCACTTTTCAGAGCTTGGCCTCGCGGGAGTTGGTGAAGCAGCAGTTCGCCTGGCGCCACTACTACTGGTATTTGACGAACGAGGGCATCACCTACCTCCGCGAATACCTGAACCTGCCAGAAGGAGTCGTGCCCGCTACAGTCAAGAACAAGGCCAAGGAGCCCCGATTGCCGCTCGGAGACCGCCCGTCCCGACCAGGTTTGTCACTTTCTCGGATTAGCCTTGCTTGTTTCTTTTCTGTGTGTATCTTATTCCTTTTAGGCCCGAAGGCCGAGGGAGATCGTGATGCCTACAGGACGACCGAGAAGCAGACTGATGCCGGACCCGGAGCTGCCCCCGTTTACCGAGCCGGATTCGGACGTGGCGGCCCTGCACCTCAGTAATTCTTTATTTCATAAATTGTTGTTTTTGCTTACCGTACATAAATTTTTGTTACTGTCGCGATCGCCATTTGAAGCAAATATAAAACTTTGAAGTGCTTTGAGATCACAATTCACACCCAAACAGATATACGCATATAATTAGAGATACAGCTGCTTTTATTGGCTTGATGCTGGCGGGTGTTTTGTTTGCTCTTGAGGTCGCGAGGTAGTCCTTGCCTTCCCAGGCACCGTGAAATTGTAGCTATTGCCCTGTTTTCAATGTGCTTCTGGGCGAAGGGGCTGAAGTGGTGACGACCCGTGGTGGAGAGGGTGCCGTCGGCAGGGGATCGATCGGCCCGAAGGCAGCCCCACCCCTTCTCCGCTTCTTTGGGGCCGGGCGAAAAATACGCATTCCCGTCTCGGGCACGCATTGGAATCAGCCCGTAAATGACTACCAAATATCTAACCCGTATTGCTTCTCCTTGATTAAATGCATTTTTGCCTTTCATCGTTGTCCATTTTACCGGCCGCGGTGCTCCGGTGTGCCCTCATCAACACAAATTAGCCAATTGGCAAATTGGGGTCCCCAAAGGACCTGGGCCGACGAGTGTAGCTGGCTCTTTCCATGTTCTCCATTGTTTTTTTTGTAGAATTTTTGGTTCTTGGACCTAACTCTAGATTCCCTAGGGTCGGCAGCATGGCCGATTATGACTATTTGATAAAGTTTCTCGCACTTGGGGACTCGGGAGTCGGAAAGACGTCGTTTTTGGTAAGTTTTTACCAATTTTTGGTAGGCGGTGTGGGGGATTTTTGTAAACCAAATCCGAAATTTTGGTTGGGTGAGGTTGAGCGGCTGATTTTAGAGGCTTATTTTATAGCGTTTTTGTTGGATTATGTTCAGGGCGATAAGCCAGTCACACCGGCCCCCCACCCGCCTGGGGTTTAGGAATGTGAGCCGGAAACTGGCCCGGAAAATCGACAGCTTTGGAAATCATTCAAAAAAGAAACTTTCAGCACCGATACACAGACAACACGTTCACGGGTCAGTTCATATCAACGGTAGGCATCGATTTCAAGGAGAAGAAAGTGGTAGGTGCCGGATTCAACTCGGTCAGTGCCGTTTGTAGGTGTACAAATCAGCGCGCGGCGGTTTCGGCGGACGGGGGCAACGGGTGCTCTTGCAGCTATGGGATACCGCCGGGCAGGAGAGGTTAGTTATTTAGTAGAAGTAATAGAAGATACTATATTACTGCAGATTCCGCTCGTTGACGACGGCCTTTTTCCGGGATGCGATGGGCTTCATCCTGATCTTCGACATCACCAACGAGCAGTCGTTTTTGAACATTCGAGACTGGCTTTCACAGTTGAAGGTGCGTGTGGTTCATGATGGATTTTTCTGTAGTAATTAGATGAAATGCCAAAGAATTGGAACGCCGCCAAATCTCTTTTTTAGGTTTTAGGTCCGAAAAACTCCTTTTCCGGACCTAAAACACGACTTTTTCGAATTTTTCAAGCATTTTTTTGAAATTTTGAGACGTTTTTGATTGCAATTTATTGTAATTTCACGAATATCAATATAAAAAATATTGTATTTTTTTCTAGGCCACACTGGAGGGCTTTAACTTTACAATTTTACATTTTTTTCAGGTGCACGCCTATTGCGAAACGCCAGATATCATAATCTGCGGAAATAAGGTGCGTGGAATATTCCGAAAATTCCGCTTCTATTCGTTATAAGTTATGATTATCTTTAGGTTGAAAAATCTAGAGACCCTGTGCTTAGAAACCGTTCAAAATCAAGACGTATAACTGATTATCGCCCCCCATTTCCAGGCAGACCTGGAGAACCGACGACAGGTGAGCACAGCACGAGCCAAGCAGCTGGCCGATCAGTTGGGGTGAGCACGAGTTTAATAGTTTAAATATTGGCAAAAACGTTTAAAATCGATTTTTCTGCAGACTGCCCTACTTCGAGACGTCGGCGTGCACGTCGACGAACGTCGAGCGGGCCGTGGATTGTTTGCTGGACCTGGTGATGCAGCGCATTCAGCAGAGCGTCGAGACGAGTGGTGCGTTTTTGGGGTTTTCTTTATCTAGAGCTTCAACCCTGGCTTTATCACGGTGTTTTGGATATTCCAAGGATTCACATGAGATTTTTTAACTTCGTAAAGAACCGCGTACTTGCTATTCTCATGGAGGACCCTTTTCGGATTTTTGTGAAATAAATAATAGCTGTTTTTCTAAATTTTCAATTACTAACAATAAGATAAAGAAAGAATCTGACAATATTTGGCCAAAAAAATTCAGAGTTGGGTGGAAAAGCGATTTTTCGGCCAAAAATGATAAAAATTTCGGGTTTTCGATCGTCTTTCTAGTTTGCATTTTCTTTTTGCAAATCAGTTTAAATTTGACGGTTAATTTGAATGTGACTTTTAGTTTTCCACGCTAATATTTTTAGAAAAGACGGATTTCCTACGACTTTGGAAAAAATTATTTTTTTAACATGATTGCCGGAAATCTGGCATTTTTCTGGAAATTTTTACAATGTAGCATACATACTTTGCTTTTTGTTTTAACCTTATTAATTTTTAGGTTAAAGTTAGTAAAATTTTAAAGAATAATAGTTAGTTTGGTTAAATTTTAAACTTTAAGTTTTTAACCTTGCAGGTCTACCCCTCTCCGAGTGCCGTGGCGTGTCGCTCGACGCCGAAAATCCGCCGGCCGCCGGCTACTGTGCCAATTGCTAGCCCTCGATTTTTCCATTGTTCATTCCATATCTGCTCTCCCCCAATTTCATTGCCTAATTGCTTTCCTCTCCTCCTCCTCCTCCTCCTGGTCCATTTCGGTGTTACGCATCTCGTCAATTATTCCGCAAATTGCCTGTGAACGGATATCATCTAGGATATTCACATTATTGTTGTGGGGCGCCCGCCATTTTTAGTTTAAAGGGGCGGGCAAGCTGGGCCATTTTTATAAGTTTTAAAGGTATAGTTAAAAATGCGATTCTACAATGTTTTCGGCAATATTTCAACGTAAAATTTAAGGAATTGTTACTCAAAAAATAAAAATTTGCTATTTTTATCAAAATTTGGATTTTTAAGGTTTTTTGGACCATTTTTCCACTTTTAATACAGATAATTTTAGCAAAAAATATTATTCAGATTCTACTATTTCGACCGATAGCCCCGATTTTACATTATGTAATCGAATAGACCCGTTCTGCCTTTTGGCGACAAAGCTAAATCTATAGAAAATCAATGGCCAAACCTCGCCCGCCCCTTTAAAGCCCTGAAAATCTTTTTTTTCGTAAATTTTTAGCCCTGTCCTGTAATACAGCGCATTTCACTTTTCATCAACTGTGTTTACGCCTAGAAGCGGAAGCGCTTAGGGCGAGAATTTTCCCCCAAGAGCCCCGCTAGCCTGCTACATCTCGGAACTTTACCCCTCCCAATTACACCCCCGAGCTGCCAAAACACTGTGTTTTTCTGTGAGTGTCTGGTTCTGGTTCATTAGCGGGGGGAGCGTTAGCCCACAAAACAATAAAAAAGAATTTGTAACAGTGTTTGGAATAGTTTCCGATTACTAAAAAGTTTAAAAACATCAAAAAAATTAGTTTTCATATATTTCGATCAAAAAATAGAAATTTTCTTGTAATTTGAATGCTTTTTATAGCGTATACTGATACTTAAAAATGGTATAAAGAGCTACAGAAATGGTGTGTGTTTAATTTTTTGGGGGGACTTACTATAGACGGAAGTTATCCACCCCCCCCCGCTAAGAGGCCAGAACAGTTTTTCTGTGTTTCTCTCACAACAATCTCTCACTCTCTCCCCCAGAATTGTTGCAAAATTGCAAAAAGTGGTGTTTATTTGTAAATACACTGTGCGATATGGAGTGGCGAGAATGGGTCAGCAAGGGCGGATATGAGAGATCAATTCGGAGGAGCTAGGGGGTACGGTAGCAGAAAAGATTACATACAAATCTTCGAAATTCATATTTCCGAAAGTCAGTTTTGGAAATGAAAAATTTGGGAAAAATTTGGGTTCTTTTGCATTATCCGGGGGGGGGGGATTTCTTCCGATAAACCCTCGAAATGTCTAGTAACATTTTTAGGAAAATTTAACTAGTTTTCAAGTGCAAAAACACAACCTAAAATTAGCATTTTAAACAGTCTGAAATCACACAGCTTTTGTCGAAAAACCGAGATTTTCCTATTTTTACACAAAAAACTTCTGTAGTTTTCTACGTTTAGAAATAATAGTGATTTTTTAGGTACGCTGTCTTAAAGTCTTTGGACGGGAAAGAGAAGCCCCCCCCCGATAATGCAAAAGCACCGGAATGGCCGATCTAGGCGAGAAATAGCAATGTAAATTTTTCGAAACGGTTTTCGAAACGCTTTCCAAAAGTATGACTTCAGAAAGATGAATTTACATAATTAGGAATAGAAAAAATGATGCACCGGCACGGAATGTACAAAGGAATACTGACTGCAAATAGAGAAATAGAGAAATACAGGGTGTCCCAAAAATCACCCCGCTCTAGCCGGCTGCAGTCGTGTCCGATTTTTGACGATTTAGGTGTTTATCGGAAGCTCTCGGCAAGGTCACTCCAGCATGATCACCGATAGTCGAAATTTCGCAACTTTTCGCTCGATTTTCGGCATTTTTCATGCAAAAAGGACCCGCCTTTTGGTCAGAAACTCTATTTGACCGGTTTAGGCGCTATCCAAACTGTTTTTTTTCGCCAACGGCTTTCAAAAACTGTCGTTGGGCTGCTGGAAAATGCGTAAAAACCCTTAAATTCTGATTTTCGACAGAATCCTCGGTCAGAAAAACGTCAGAAGATCGACATTTTCCGCATAAATACTAGTAAATGTTAGAAAAATTAGAAATTAGAAAAGGAAAAAGGAAATTAGAAAAATTCAAGATCGGTTAGCCGTGCTGGACTCGCCTTTCCGAGAGCTTTCGGTAGATACCAAAATCGCAAAAATCGGACATGTCTGCGGCCCGCTAGGTAGG